CTAAAATTATTTTCTTGATATAGAAAAGATTTTACTTGACAAAAAAAAAAGAAATGTCAAATATTATCATACAAAGTTTATCATCATTTATCTTAGACTATAATTATGTTCTAAACCAATAACAGACGCAGGCGCACGCTTTTTAAACGTTATGGACGAAACGATAAACGGACGCATACGCACGCTAAACGATAAACGCTCTCAAACGCACGATAAACGATACACGGAAAACGATAAACGTAAACGCTTGTAAACGATGCACGCTTGAGTAAGTGTTTCATCAAACGCACGTTGCACGATAAACACACGCACGTAACACGTAAAACGGACGTAAGAAACACGCTATTTTTGACAATCGAAACGTTCACCCTAACTGTAACATGCAACATAGATAAATTGCAAACTGTATTTAGAAATGTATAAATTTAAATTTGCGACATGTAGTAATGTAAATGATAGCACGTACACACCACGTTTTATGCTGTACATCATGACGTTGAGAGTGTAAATGGATCAGTTAACACTCCCAAACGGCGCATTGTCATGCGGCGTGTTGTCGCAATGTCACATTGTCGCTCGATTCAAATTGAACGATTGGCTTATCAGCCAAATGACAGGGCGACATCGCGACAACGCGCCGCACCACAACGCACCGTTGAAACAGGACGACAAGACGACAGCATGACATTTTTTTTTGTGTTGTCGCTTGCGCCAACTAGACGCACAAAAGCGTACCAAATCAGTCACCATAGAAAATAAAGAGAGATAACTCTTACTGTACACAAACATATTTCAAATTAAATAAAACTTTTTATATGTCACAGACATGTACATCATTTGCATAACAGTTGAATTTGAATATCATCTGATTCTGTAGCAAAGGATAAACAAGTAATGCAAAAGTGGTTAATATATATTGTAACAATGTAACAACGTTGGCATAACGTCATAATACTGATAATGAGCATAATAAAATGCAAACACTAAAGTTGATGAATTTACGAATAGGAATATTTAGACACACCACAACTGGTAGCCAAGCTGTTTAAGACGTTATAACGGTATATATTAGAAGTATATATTAAAAGTATATGCGTTTCACAATCAGCGGTCAGTACTAGAATGCGATACTTGGCAACATAATAAGCACGTGCCTTCTTTCTCTGAAGGACTAAATTGGGTGGTAGAGAAAACAACACATTTTGTACTAAGTGACTAACGGAACTATACAAAGGTTACTGTTGATAATTAGGTTATATAATCCAAATCTTGTGAATTGATCCCATTTTAGTGTTGAAATAAATATGCAGTGTATCCAGGCATCTCTGTTTACCTCCATTGAGAGATATTTTGAGTCATAGAATGTCAATGCTGGCGTAGGTAAAAGTCTTCAGCGAACTTCTTTTTATGCATTTTACTAAATCAATGACAGCTTTAAAGGCTTTGTATACATGCTGTAAATAGATGTTTGCTAGACTTGCTGTATTTCTATCCAAAAGCGAGAACTAATTTTTATGTACAAAAAAAACTACACAGAACATTTACTAAGTTTTGTTAGTAAAGGCTTTCTTAGAGATTAAATAAGCAAGGTAATCAACATACTTAATTTTGGACTCATTTAAATAGTACTTTTGAAAAAATATGGTAAAATGGGAAAATTTATCTAAACAGTATGGTAAAAATAAAAAGTTATGTACGAAAGGGTATATACAACACACTATTGTTTAAGACTTTTTCCTTGTCAAGTTAAACAAAGACACTTGGGGTGTGGAGCTCAAACGCCTTTAAATTCCAAATTTGAATACGGCAAAGCAGGGAGCCGATTTCAAATGTGTAGAACGATTTTGTAAATGGAGTTAAACGGCGATTATCATGATGTTTATTTCGCCTGTTGCGTTGTTTATATTGATGTTGAAGTTTAAAAAATACTATCATCGTAGAGAATAATATCTGTTTCGATGGACAAAAGGATTATGTGAAAATATTTGAAATGGATGAGAAATATAGTTATTTTGACCTTAGGCATACGGATTTTTTCCGGCGAGCATTTTTATCTTGTGTCTTATGATAGACGTTGAAATCTGATTTCTTTTCTAAAATGGGATGTTGAATAACTTCTTTGAAAAACATTTACCCTCAAACAAACCCATTAAAGTTAGGTTGAGACAGGTGAAGTTTTTTGTTTCTATTTCAAAGAAATGTAGTATCTACAGCGTTTCAAAACTTATAGGCCTATAATCATTTCAAGTCGCTAATGTTGACTGAATGAAGACAATAAATGGCTATCATGCAAGTGAATAACTGTTATGATTTTCAAACACCTAAATTGTATGGTTAACTGTAACTACGCCCGTGCGTGTTCTTGTTTGTCTTACTTTCTTAAGAAGAACAAGTCGCTATCAGTAAAAACCGTAAAATAAGCGGATAAATACGTTTATTTACGAAGATGTAGTGGGCGGGAAAATGGGCGGAGCTTATCTTATCTCTATTGCTGGATTATGCTGATTCGAATCATGATGGTTTGCAAGCTTAAAAAGTAAATTCTGTTTTGTCGGCGTATACACGACCAATGAATATTCCGCATGTTATCATGAATACTTGGTGTTGCTACTCTCAGAAAACCAGTTAATGTTTTGTCATTAAACAAAACGTAATTTGTTGAAATATATGTTAACAATGTTATATCGGCAATCTCAATCCACGAATGCACACTGTAGTTAACATACACAGAAAAACAATTGTATTTTGTCCGTAAACAAACTGTTCAACTCTGATCAACAAGGCTGGATTTTTGGCAACAAATAGCCTCCATAGTTAACAAGCACGAATGCCATAAAATATTTTGAAAAGAAAAAGCAATTTAGCAAGGTAATTATGAGGAAACGACTTGCACTGTCACAGGCGAAGTTTGTTACACTGGGTATTTAAATTTACTGGAATAGTACATTTGTACAATTTGTTATTAGCAAACTTATCCTAGATTTTTCATTATATAACGGTACATATTATTGTATCTGAGTTTTAAGAACTCTATGCCGTGTTGTGAATGTTCTTTGCCTTTGTAAGTTATAATGGATTAAAGATTGAATGTACACTTTCAAAATACCGGTATTTATCTTCAGAATATTTACACTAATTGTAAACACGTATTCATATTTTCGGTAGAAATGAAAAGCCTTTTAATGTACAATTCAATATCTAAATACACAAATTAATGACATACCTTGAAAGGAGAGGTCTGGTGACGATGACCTTGAACCTAAAATAAGAAGTACAATTACTAACATATTTAAGCCGGTTTTAGAAAGAAATGAGAATTTACACGTACGTTGCATTAGTAATTAATGAATTTAGGGAAAAAATCAGCTACCCATTACAGATTTATGAAAGTAAGCGAGAATGCAGTGTTTTTTGTTAACCGACAACTATTTTCTGATGTATCATTAGCGCCAGTGCGATGTTCGTGAAGTTGGCAGCCTAGCTGCCTGGCAGCCTAGCTGCCTGGCAGCCTAGCAGCCTAAAGAAAACTAAGAATAGTACAAACATGAAATCATCGGATATGAATCGGAAGCACATACTTAGACCATTGCACGTCTTATTTCAGTATCGCGATCTTTATTTTTTTAAATATTGAACTTTGTTTTTTTTTAAATTTTGACGCTTCGAAATTTGTGAAGTTAGCAGCCTAGCAGCCTAGCAGCCTAGCAGCCTGGCAGCCTAACAGCCTAACAGCCTAAAGAAAACTTAGGAAAGTACAAACATGTAAACCGTCGGAAATGAGTTGGTAGCACATACTTAGACTATTCCACGTCTTTTGTCAGTATCGCGAACTTTATTTTTTTAAATATTGAACTTTGTTTTTGTTGTTGTTTTTTTACACTTCGAAATTTGTGAAGTTTGCAGCCTGGCAGCCTAGCAGCCTAGCAGCCTGGCAGCCTGGCAGACTAGCATCCTAAAGAAAACTTAGGACAATACAAACATGTAAAAGTCGGAAATGAGTTGGTAGCACATTCTTAGACCATTCTACATCTTTTTTCAGTTTCGCGAACTTTATTTTGTTATATTGAACTTTGTTTTTTCTTACTCTTCGTTTTCTTTAGGCCGCTAAGCTGCTAGGCTGCCAGGCTGCTAGGCTGCTAACTTCACAAATTTTGAAGTGTCAAAAAAAAAAAAAAAAAAAAAAAAAAAAAAAAAACAATGTTTAATATTTAAAAAATAAAGTTTGCGATACTGAAAAAAGACGTGGAATAGTCTAAGTATGTGCTACCGACTGCTGCTAGGCTGACAGGCTGCTAGGCTGCCAGGCTGTTTGGCTGCTAACTTCACAAATTTCGAAGTGTCAAAAAAAAAAAAAAAAAAAAAATACAGAAAACAAACATAGTTCAATATTTAAAAAAATAAAGTTCGCGATACTGAAAAAAGACGTGGAATAGTCTGAACATGTGCTATCGACTCATTTCCGACGGTTTACATGTTTGTATTGTCCTTAGTTTTCTTAAGGCTGCTAGGCTGCCAGGCTGCTAGGCAGCTAGGCTGCCAGGCTGCTAGGCTGCTAACTTCACAAATTTCGATGTGTCAAAAAAAAACAAAAAAAAACAAAGTTCAATATTTAACATGTGCTATCGACTCATTTCCGACGGTTTACATGTTTGTATTTTCCTTACTTTTCTTTAGGCTGCCAGGCTGCTAGGCTGCTAACTTCACAAATTTCGAAGCGTCAAAATGAAAAACAAAACAAAGTTCAAAATTAAAAAAAAAGATCGCGATACTGAAATAAGATGTGCAATGGTCTTAGTATGTGCTTTCGATTCATATCCGTCGATTTCATGTTTGTACTATTCTTAGTTTTCTTTAGGCTGCTAGGCTGCTAGGCTGCCAACTTTAGGCTGCTGGGCTGCTAGGCTGCTAGGCTGCCAACTTCACGAACATGCCAGTGCGTATATAAACTATAATCTTGTAACAAAAACTGACATTGCAAGTTCTTTTGAACTTATTTTAGATTAAAAACAACAGTAACTGTTACCATCTGGTGTCGAAGAACGAGCTCCTGAAATGATACAATATATATTTGTTATAATAAGTAAATCTTAACAATGTACGTGTTTATCTTATACAAAGCTTTAAGCGATCGATAACAGTTTTGAAAATTGTTTTTCCTGTTACTGTCATAATTGATATATTCTTATCAATTGGTTTATCTCATGTGTAATCAATTTGCAGAAGTTATGACACACATGTTGCGGTTTACTATGGAGGCTTTTCGTTGCCTAAAAATAGCCTTTGAAACTTGACAATGCATAGAACAGATAAGTAAAAATCTCATTGTCAATCCGATAGTTACATTCTGGTCTTTGGGTGTCCGTGGCCGAGGTTAAGGTCGTTGACTTCAAAACACTTGCCTCTGTTGCGGGTTCGAATCCCGATAGGGACTTTGGATTCTTTCTTGTGAAGAAGCTCTCCAACTAGCTTGTGGAACGTCGGTGGTTCTACTCAGGTGCCCGTGTGCCTGTTCAAGCCGGAAGTAATGCCCGGAACTCACCTGAGGTTTTCCTCCATCAGTAAAGCTGGAACGTCGCGATATGGCCTAAACTGTGTCGGTGTGACGTAAAACCCAAAACAAACAAACAAACAAAAACAACAAAAAAACATTCTGGACTGGTATTAAGCATTTTGACTATGTCGATTTGATAAAATAGAAGCTGTTAACATGCAACATAGATAAATTGTAAACTGTATTTAAAAATGTATAACTTCAAATTTGCGTCATGTAGAAATGTAAATAATAGAACGTACACAACACGTTTTATGCTGAACATCAGGACTTTGAGAACGTAACTGGATCAGCTAACACTACCAAACGGCGCGTTGTCGTGCGGCGTATTATCGCGATGTAACATTGTCGCTCGGTTCAAATTAAATGATTAGCTTATAAGCAAAGTGACAGGGCGACAACGCGCCGCACGACAACGCTACCCATTACAGATTTTTGAAGGTAGCGAGAATGCAGTGGTTTTTTGTTAACCGACAACTATTGTCTGATGTATCATTAGCGCCAGTGCGTATATAAACTATAATCTTGTAACAAAAACTGACATTGCAAGTATCTTTTGAACTAATTTTAGATTTAAAACAACAGTAACTGTTACCATCTGGGGACGAAGAACGAGCTCCTGAAATGATACAATATATATCTATTATAATAAGTATATCTTAACAATGTACGTGTTTATCTTATACAAAGTTTAAAGCGATCGATAACAGTTTTGAAATTTTTTTTTCTGTTACTGTCATAATTGATATATTCTTATCAATTGGTTTATCTCATGTGTAATCAATTTGCAGAAGTTATGACACACATGTTGCGGTTTACTATGGAGGCTTTTCGTTGCCTAAAAAAACAGCCTTTGAAACTTGACAATGCATACTGCGGTTTTACTAAACAGATAAGTAAAACCCTAATTGTCAATCCGATAGTTACATTCTGGACTGGGGGTGTCCGTGGCCGAGGTTAAGGTCGTTGACTTCAAACCACTTGCCCCTCACCGCTGCGGGTTCGAATCCCGATAGGGACTTTGGATTCTTTCATGTGAAGAAGCTATCCAGCTAGCTTGTGGAACGTCGGTGGTTCTACTCAGGTGCCCGTTCATGCCTGGAATAATGCACGGAAGGGCACCTGAGGTTTTCCTCCATCAGTAAAGCTGGAACGTCGAGATATGACCGATACTGTGTCGATGTGATGTAAAACCTAAAACAAACCAAAACAAAAAAACATTCTGCACTGGTATTAAGCATTTTGATTATCTCGATTTGATAAAATATAAGCTGCTAACATGCAACATAGATAAATTGCAAACTGTATTTAGAAATGTATAACTTCAAATTTGCGACATGTAGAAGTGTAAATAATAGAACGTACACAACACGTTTTATGCTGAACAGCAGGACGTTGTGAGTGTAACTGGATCAGTTAACACTCCCAAACGGCGCGTTGACTTGCGGCGTATTGCCGCGATGCAACATTGTCGCTCGGTTCAAATTAAATCATTAGCTTATAAGCCAAGTGACAGGGCGACATTGCGACAACGCGCCGCACGACAACGCGCCGTTTGGCTTGCTACCCAATAGACAGGACGACAAGACGACAGCACAAAAGCGTAACAAATCAGCCACCATTGAATATAAAGAGATGTTACTTTTACTGTATGCAAACATATTTCAAATCTAATCAAACTGTTATATATGTCACATACATGAACATGAACTGTATTACAGTATATACCATATATAATGACACACACCACAATTGGTAGCCTATCTGTTTTAGACGTTATAACGGTATATATTAGAAGTATATATTGAAAGTATGTGTACTCATTTGTTATGCGATACTTGGCAACATAATAAGCATGTGCCTTCTTTCTTTGAAGGCCTAAATTGGGTGATAGAAAAAACAACACATTTTTTTAAGTAATGACTAACGGAACTATACTAATGTTACTTTTGATAATTACGTTGTATAATCCAAATCTTGTGAATTGATCCCATTTTAATGTTGAAATAAGTATGCAGTGTACCCAGGCCTCTCTGTTTACCTCCATTTTGAGATATTTTAAGTCATAGTATGTATGCTGGCGTAGGTTAATGTCTTCTGCAAACTCCTTTTTATTCATTTTACTAAATCAATAACAGCTCTAAGGGCTTTGCATGCATGCTGTCAATAGCTGTTGGCTAGACTTGCTGTCTTTCTGATCAAAAGCAGAGAACTAAATTTTATGTATAAAAAAATCTACACAGAGCATTTACTAATTAAGTTTTGTAAGTGATGTTTTTTTTAGAGATAAAATAAATAAGGTATACATTAATTGATAATCAACATTCTTAACTTTGGACTCATTTAAATGGTACTATTGAAAATATATGGTAAAATTGGGAAAATATATCTATACAATATAGTAAAAATAAACAAGAGGGCCATGATAGCCCTGAGTCGCTCACAAGAAACAACTGCTTTTCAAAGTTGGAAATTATCCTTTGTTAATATTTTCTGATATTTAATTTGAGCATAAAATATGTTTTAACAATAATTTGAAGAAATGCCATGACCTGGGGCATTTACGCTTTAGCTTAAACGACGCCAATCAAATTATTATGAGCAAACTTGATAAAAGACTACCTAATAATGCTACAAAGTTTGGTGGTCATCTATCAATTATTATGCCCCCATTTCGAAGAAAAGGGGGTATATTGCTTTGCACTTGTCGGTCCGTCGGTCCGTTGGTCCGTCGGTCCGTAGACCAAATGGTTTCCGAGTGATAACTAAAGAACCCTTAGGCCTCGGAACTTCAAACTTGGTATGGTGATTGGTCATGACCAGTACATGACCCCTATCGATTTTGGGGTCAAGGGGTCAAAGGTCAAGGTCACATTGACCTTGTAAGCAAAAACGGTTTCCGATCAATAACTAAAGAACCTTAAGGCCTAGGAACTTCAAACTTGGTATGGTGATTGGTCATGACCAGTAGATGACCCCTATTGATTTTGGGATCAAGGGGTCAAAGGTCAAGGTCACATTGACCTTGTAAGCAAAAACGGTTTCCAATCAATAACTAAAGAACCTTAAGGCCTAGGAACTTCAAACTTGATATGGTGATTGGTCATGATCAGTAGATGATCCCTATTGAATTTGGGGTCAAGGGGTCAAAGGTCAAGGTCACATTGACCTTGTAAGCAAAAACGGTTTCCGATCAATAACTAAAGAACTTTAAGGCCTAGGAACTTCAAACTTGGTATGGTGATTGGTCATGATCAGTAGATGACCCCTATTGATTTTGGGGTCAAGGGGTCAAAGGTCAAGGTCACATTGACTTCTTGGGAAAAACGGTTTCTGATCAATAACAAAAGAACCCTTAGGCCTAGGAACTTCAAACTTGGTATGGTGATTGGTCATGACCAGCAGATGACCCCTATTGATTTTGGGGTCAAGGGGTCAAAGGTCAAGGTCACATTGACTTTGTAGGTAAAAACGATTTCCGATCAATAACGAAAGAACCTTAGGCCTAGGAACTTCAAACTTGGTATGGTGATTGGTCATGACCAGCAGATGACCCCTATTGATTTTGGGGTTAAGGGGTCAAAGGTCAAGGTCACATTGACTTTGTAGGTAAAAACGGTTTCCAATCAATAACGAAAGAACCCTTAGGCCTGGGGACTTCAAACTTGATATAGTGATTGGTCATGATCAGTAGATGACCCCTATTGATTTTGGGGTCAAGGGGTCAAAGGTCAAGGTCACATTGACCTCTTAGGTAAAAACGGTTTCCGATCAATAACTAAAGAACCCTTAGGCCTAGGAACTTCAAACTTGGTATGATGATTGGTCATGACCAGTAGATGACCCCTATTGATATTGGGGTTAAGGGGTCAAAGGGCAAGGTCACATTGACCTTGTAGGTTAAAATGCTTTCAAATCAATAACTTAAGAACCCTTTGGCCTAGGAACTTCAAACATGGTATGGTGATTGGTCATGACCAGCAGATGACCTATTGATTTTGGGGTCAAGGGGTCAAAGATCAAGGTCACATTGACCTTGTATTTTAAAACGGTTTCCGATCAATTAACTAAAAACGCTTAGGCCTAGGAACTTCAAACTTTGTATGATGATTGGTCGTGACCAGCAGATGACCCCTATTGAGTTTTGGGTCAAGGGATCAAAGGTTAAGGTCATGACCAGTAGATACTTGATAACCCTTATTAATTGTTTGATCACTGGGTCAGAAGTCATGCATAATAACCTTAACACATGACTAATTGGCTGCTGATAGGGGGCATACATGTTTTACAAACATATCTTGTTTCAGTAGGAAATGTTCAAAGGTTTTAATATTTTTGGCTTTAGTGGCCCCTAAAAGGGACCAATCAAATTAATATAAGCAAGCTTGATAAAACCTTACCTACGAATGCTACAGACAAAGTTTGGTGATCATCATCAATTAGTTCTGTAGAAAAAGACGTTTAAATTTTTTATTTTTAGCTTTAGCGGTCCCTAAAAGGGGCAAATCAAATAAATATGATAAAAAATTATAAAATGCTACCCAAGAATACTACAGACAAAGTTTGGTGATCATCCATCAAATAGTTCTGTAGAAATGGATGTTTAAAGATATTTCTATTTTTAGCTTTTATTAGCTGCCCCTAAAAGGGGCCAATCACATTAACATGAGTAAAGTTGATATCAGACTACCCAAGAATGCTACAGACAAAGTTTAGTGATCATCGATCAATTAGTTCTATAGAAGAAGACATTTTACGACAAAGTTTGGTGATCATCGATCAATTAGTTCTATAGAAGAAGACATTTTAAGGTTTTCTATTTTTAGCCCTAGAGACCCCTAAAAGGGGCCAATCAAATTAATATGAGCAAATTTGATAAAAAAAAATACCCAAGAATGCTACAGACAAAGTTTTGAGATCACTCATCAATTAGTTCTCTAGATATAGATGTTAAAGATATTTCTATTTTTAGCATTAGCGGCCCCGAAAAGAAGTCAATCAAATAATATGAGCAAACTTGATAAAAGACTAACCAAGAAAGATAAAGACAAAGTTTGGTGATCATCCATCAATTATTTCTGTAGAAGAAGATGTCTAAAGATTTTTTCTATTTTTAGCCGTAGAGACCTCTTAAAGGGACCAATCAAATTAATATGAGCAAACTTGATTAAAGACTACCCAAAAATGCAACGTACTAAGTTTGGTGATCATCCATCAATAAGTTCTCTAGATATAGATGTTAAAAGGTATTTCTTTTTTAGCTTTAGCTGCCCCTAAAAGGGGCCAATCAAATTAATATGAGCAAACTTGATAAAAGACTACCCAAGAATGGTACAGACAAAGTTTGGTGATCATCCATCCATTGGTTATGTAGAAGAAGATGTCTAAATGTATTTCTATTTTTAGCCGCCCTAGAGACCCCTAAAAGGGGCCAATCAAATTAATATGAGCAAATTTGATAAAAGACTATCAAACAATGCTACAAACAAAGTTAAGTGATCATCCATCAATTAGTTCTGTAGATACAGATGTTTAAAGGTATTTCTATTTTTATCTTTAGCGGCCCATAAAAGGGGCCGATCAAATTAATATGAGCAAACGTGATAACAAAAACTACCCAATAATGTTACAGACACAGTTTGGTGGTCATCCATCCATTAGTTCTGTAGAAGAAGCTGTCTAAAGGTATTTCTATTTTTAGCCCTAGAGACCTCTTAAAGGGGCCAATCAAATTAATATGAGCAAATTTGATAAAAGACTACCCAAGAATGCTACCGACAATGTTTTGTGATTATCCATCAATTAGTTCTGTTATAGAAGATGTTTAAAGGTTTTTATGTTTAGCTCTGTTGACCCCAATTGAAATAACATGAGCAAATTCAAGTGTGACTGTCGCAAGGATGCTACAGACCAAATTTGAAGTAAATTTGCCGAGCGGTTTCAGAGAAAAAGACGATTGTTGACACATGACGACGGACGCCGGAGAATCATCCCCCTTTGATACTTATATCTCACCCTGAGCCTTCGGCTCTGGTGAGCTAAAACGTTATGTACGAAAGGGTACATACAACTCACGATTGTTAAAAAAAATTCTTGACAAGTCATACGCTATTATTAGGCACAGACACTTGGGATGTGGAGCTCAAAATGTCTTTTAATTCCAAATTTGATTACAGCAAAGCTGATAGCCAATTTCGAACTTGTCGAAAGATTGTTTAGATGGAGTTAAACGGCGATTATCTTGGTGTTTATTTCGCCTGTTGCGTTGTTAATATTGATGATGAAGTTATAAAGATTAACCATCATTGTGGAGAATTATATTTTCCGATGTACAAAAGGATTATGTGAAAATATTGAAATGGAATAAAATACATATTGATTTTTACCGTAGGCATACGGATTTTTTCCGGAGAGCATTTTTATCTTGTGTCTTTTAATAGACGTTGAAATCTAATTTTTTTCTAAAACGGGATGTTGAATAAATTCTTTGAAAAATATTTTAAAAGTAAGATTGAGACAGTTACAAATGTACCTGGTGAGGTGTTTTGTTTCCTTTTCTAAGTAATGTAGTTTCTTGCATATCAGACAGGATTATCTACTGTTTACATCGGTGCTAGAAAACCCTGTCTTACACCCCCATGTAAGACAAGTCGCGTGCTTTAAATGACGTCATTGCTGCGCGCCTTTTATGAATGAATTGCGTTCTTAGGATGACGTCACTTAACCGTTATAAAAGAAGCTGTAAGTTCATACGCTACTATAAGAAAAAAAGTGCGTAATGAGAATATCAGTTTTCGTAATTTCTGTTCTAAAATTATTAATATGTAATATGCAGGTAAAAGAATCAAACACCGGCTGTCGGTGCAGACGGGAATATCTAGCTCTCGGGTGACTGTTTACGGCGGAAACTCGGCAGAGCCTCGTTTACCGCCGTAAACAGTCACCCTCGAGCTAGATATACCTTAAAGGTATGGTTAACTGAAACTACGCCGGTGCGTGTTCTTGTTTGTCTTGCTTCCTTAAGAAAAACCAGTCGCTAACAGTAAATACCGAAAAATAAGCGGATATATACGTTTATTTACGAAGATGTAGTGGGCAGGAAAATGGGCGGAGTTTATCTTATCCTTATTGCTGGATTATGCTGATTCGGACCATGATACTTTGACAATGTCAAGCTTAAAAAGTAAATTCTGTTTTGTCGGCGTATACACGACCAATGAATATTCCGCATGTTATCATGAGCACTTGGTATTGCTACTCTCAGAAAACCAGTTAATGTTTTGTCATAAAACAAAACGTAATTTGTTGAAATATATGTTTGAAATATTAAAATGGCAATCTCAATCCCGGAATGCTACACTGTAGTTAACATGCACAGAAAAACAATTGTATACTTTGTCCGTAAACAAACTGTTCAACTCTGATCAACAAGGCTGGATTTTTGGAAACAAATAGCCTCTATAGTTTACAAGCACGGATGCCGTGATTTAATATTTTGCAAAGAAAAAGCAAGTTAGCAAGGTAACTATAAGGAAACGACTTGCACTGTCACGGGCAAAGTTTGCATCACTGGTTATAAAAATGTACTGGAAAAGTACATTTGTATAATTTGTTTATAGCAAACTTATCCTAGATTTTTCCTTATATAACGGTAAATATCAATACATGAGTTTTAAAAACTTTATGTCGTGTTGTGAATGTTCCTTGCCTTTGTGTGTTACAACGGAAAAGGATACAACAAGATTAGATGTACACCTTTAAAGTACCGGTATTTATCTTCAGAATATTTGCCTTAATTGTAAACACGTATTCAGATTTTCGGTAGAAATGAAAAGCTTTTTGAATGTACAATTCAGTATATCTAAATACCCAAATTAATAACATGTCTTGAAAGGAGAGAGTTGATGACGATGACCTTGAACCTAAAATAAGAAGTACAATTACTAACATATTTAAGCCAGTTTTAGAAAAAAATGTGAATTTACACGTACATTGCATCAATAGTTAATGAATTTAGGGAAAAACAGTCAGCTACCCACTACAGATTTATCAAGGTTGCGACAATGCGATGGGTTTGTTTTAACGGACAACTATTTTCTGATATGTTATTAGCGCCAGCGCGTATATTAATTATATGTTTGGAGAAAACATTGTGTGTGAAGGATATTTTGTGGTGTTGCCTTTCCTTATCAACCTTTTCCTTACTAAAACTATGTTTTGATACTCTACATGTAATTGATGAAACTTTTTTATATACACATCAGATGCCTGAAAATTCGCTACTTGCTACAAGGCAGCCCCTACCCCATACATGTTTTTCAAGCCATCGAAAAGTGAATTAGTAGTGTTAAGGTATGGTTAGCTTTAAACTTCACAGATTAGTTTTAGAAAAAGTAACACATGAGCGATTTTGTTCACACAGGCAATTACTACTTGAGAGATACAAATCATAATACATTCATTAGTTACCATATAACATAAAGAGCTCTATATCCTGAACAATAGAGTGATATAGATTTTTATCCGTGGGTCCTCGTAAATAACATACATTTACAAATAAATGATTCAATATTTTCAAAAATCAAGCAATTGTGCACTGTGACAATTAATATAAGGCAACGCCCTGCATTGTCACTTGCATAATCAGCATCATTGTAAAATGAGCTTGAAAATTACTTTTCGTTATATAACTTTATATAATAAATTTAACGTGTCTGAGTTTTAAAAACTCTATGTCGTGTTGTGAATATTCTTTGTCATTTTTTGTTAAAATGAAGAAACCTTCAACAAGATTTATTGTACGCTTTAAAATTACCGATTTTTATCTTCTTATCAAACGTTTCGCGCTTATTTATCGATGACTCATATTCTGATTTTCAGCAAAATAAAAAAAGCTGTTTGAATGTATAACAACAGTATCAAAACAAACAACTTAATGGAATACATTGCATGGAGAGAATCTGTGACGCTCTCCTTGCACCTAACATAAGAAGTACGAATACTACCATATTTTAGGTAGTTTAAGAAACTTAATGTGAATAGACACGTACAGTGAAAACATAATGAATGAAGCTAGAGAACAAACAAAGTCAGCTTCCCATCACAGAATTATGAAGATTGCGAGAATTCAATGTTTTTTAACGGACAACTATTTTCTGATATATCATTAGCGCCAGCGCGTTTATAAACTATAACCTTGTAACAAAAACTGACATTGTAAGTTTCTTTTGAACGAATTTTGTTAAAAAAAAAAAACAGTAACTGTTACCATCAACTGGTGACGAAGAACGAGCTCCTGAAATTATACAATATGAAAATGTGTCTATGTACTTGTTAATCATATATAAAGTTTTGATAATGCTAGGTCCAGTATCTGTCTTTCTATTCAATTGCTTCATCCAAATTTTAATCAATTTTTACGAAAGGTTATTGAGGCAACGAAAATTTTCTGTCTGTGGATAACTCGTTACACGTGAAATATAAATGGGCTTATATTTTTTTATCAAGTATTTCCCCTTTTTGACGACCAACGAGTTTTCTTGACTAATTTGTTATACCGCAAATGATGACAAGGAGATAAAACATACAATCATTACATGTAACAGTAGGACTGTTTCAGCGGACAAACAGAAATTTAAAAAACAATAAAGAATCAGGTATGAATTGAATAATTTCGGGATAATTGCTCTTGGCGTGTGAATTATATTAACAATTATATATACTCGTATAAGATAAAAAAAAACTAACTTACCACTTGTTTCTGAGCCGGTGCCCATTTCTGAAAGAAAGACAAAAAGAGTTTTTTTATGTGAAATATTTGATGTGCGCATAGAAAATTAGGAAAATGGCGAAATAATTATTATTTTAAAGGATAAACTTTATACATGCTTTGTTGTAAGTTTAAAGTCTGACCCTAAACATATGTGAGTGATAGGATTATGCTTTATTTTACAAATTGTGTAGCTTTCCTAAAATGCAATTTTATAAAATACTTGTATCACCGTTCGAAAACTAGAGCAATCGTGAATTACATGTACAAGCAATTATCACAGTATGGCAAGCAACCCATAAGTTCCCTACCGGTTAGGACCCCAGTAATATGCTATTGAATGAATGAATGAATGACATAAATAAAGGAATGAGTGTTGTTTAATACTAAATTTATAGAACGAGTTGAATAAAATCCTCTTACGAGCATAATATTGTTTTATTACATGCTTTTCGGTGGTTTACAGAAATATATCAGTGATATAAAACTGGTAATTTCACTGTTTGAAACAGTGAAATTATCACTTTGATAATTTCACTGTTTTGAATTTAAGCCCCTTACGTTGTTTCATTGAAATACCAGCGTGCACAGTACTGGGTACCAACTTAATGACGTGACGTCGTAAATGACGTCACATTGTATTATTATTTGGCGCGCTTTTCATTCAGTATAAGGTTAAATGTCTTTTTAAAACGTTTCTTTGCATATAATAAAAAGAAAATTTGTTTAGTTTATTGTAAGATTGAAATATATTTCACCTTGTGAACACCAAAAGTTCATATTTCACTCGTGGCTGCGCCACTCGTGAAATATACCTTTTGGTGCTCACTCGGTGAAATATATTCCGATCTTACACTGAACTAAACAAATATCCTCTATTTATTCAACGAGTTCAATACATTTAGTATTGAATCTAAACGAACATAATATTCTTTTTATCACATATATAAAATAAAAATGACGTCACGTCAAAGTGTTATTACACTAGACTAAGTGTAATATCGTTTTTATTAAATGGCTTTATTACACTCCTGCGCCGCGGTTAATGTGATAAATAAACTTAAATATTTTGAGTCTTATTTTGTCTTTAACATAGAAATGTTTGAAATTATGTTTATAACGCAATCTACGATACATCGGCCATGCTACTTTTGAGCGTCAGAAGCGCTCTTATACCTAATGATGTCATGACCGCTTTTTAATCTTGTTTGACATTTAAAAAACACACAAGTTGCCTTGAACAATTTGTGGCTGAAAAAAACAACAACTAAAATCTCAGTTGGTACCATATATGAGTTGCTATGAAGTTAAATAACATTACGTTGCTCCGTCATTGAATTTGACGTCATTTTTGCAACAAATAATTTACGCACCTTTATTGCCAACAACCATCGTTAACAAGCTGTTTATTTACGTATGACGTCATAATTTTCACTAGTATCCTTTGATGTCACAATATTAAATCGAGAGTTTGCGTTACAATTACACCTTTTAGCAACTTATTATTCAAGTAGCCATCGTTATGAAATCAAAGTGCTCCGTGATTCGTTGATCATGCTGCTATGGTGATCGGCGCTTTGCGAATATTTCTTTTATTCAAAACATATGTAGCATTTAAATACTTATATTGAAATAACTGCTTATATTAATTTTATAGCCTCTTCTACGAACTTTCCGGATAGCCCTCTTACAACAGACAATAAAAAAATCCAATTTTCTCAGAATGAATATGTAAAACTAATGTTTTAAGTTTTCCCTTTTTTAAGTAAATTTGTTGGAAAAGTTCTTTAAAAGTTACCTGAGGAAACAGTTTAAAGTAACGGACAGAGAGACAGACGGACTGAAAGACACTCTGAGAGTAAATATTTAAACATCTCTGGTTGTTACCAGAAAACAACATTTTTAAAAGCAAAATGTTGAAACTAAACGAAGAAAACTCTTGAATTTAAAGATACTAGACTCATGAACATTGTCAAACATGATGTGAGTGTATCAAAGAACAATTATCTTAAGTATACAGAAGATGCCATTTATAGTTAAAAAGAAAAACAAGTGAGAAAATTTTTTTTTTTAAATATACCATTTATGGTAACAAAGAAGAAAAAAAAGCAAATAAAGATTTTGTTCAAAATGAAAATAATCATGGAAACCCATGACCGATAAATCTAATCACATATGATATAGTGTTGATAATGAATGTCTATTTGAAATTTTAAGTAAATCCCTTGAGAAATAAGAAAGTTAATGAATGAATAAGAAATAACTTACTTTAAAGGAGGAGACAATTCTGGAAATATGGACGCTAGATTTATAACCCTTGTCATATTATTATGATGCGGGAGTTTGAAGTAAATGCTATCAGAAATGAAGAAATTTGAGTTAAAAATATAGTTTCTGGAAAATAATCTAAGTTAAAGTCTGGAAATACTAGAATACTAGAAGCTAGAATACTAAACCTTCTTACAAATGGTTTGAGTGATAGTAAGACACATTTATATTTATTTAGTTTAAGTAGATAAATTAAGAAAAAAAGAAATTATAAAAAATAATCATCTTTTTTCACAAAAATTCTAAGTTCAAAGGGTAGGTCTGATAATGTTGTAAACCTATCACATATGATGTGGTTGATGATAAGAACAATAAATTCAAATAATCTGTAGTAAAAAAATGTAAAAACTTGAATCAGAAATTATGACGTGGTCGCCGACGCTTGGCGAGTAGGGCACGTCTCAATAAACACAATTTACTCCTCATAGTCAATATTAGAATGTTTCTCCATACTGCCATCTATCCGAAATTTAAGTTAAATAAAAATGTAAACCCAAACTCCCCTCCGGTTGAACCGGTAGGGGACAAAAAAGAGATGTTCTACCATATAATACTTTATTTCTAATTGTACCTTAATCAATAAATAATATGTTCTGCCTTTGATATGGCGTAAAACCAGATTTGAATACAAATACATTAACATTTAGCGGTTAGGATTGAATACCGCTTAAATCGGCGCTAAGGACATTTTGTGGTCGTAACGGACCTCTAGTTAAGTGGGGGTAACAATAAACGCTATAAATTACATTTAAATTGTATTATAATGAGATAATGTGTAAAGTTCCGCGTGGCAGCCGTAAATATGTTGCCCCGTACTTCACATCAGTGTTATGTTTTTTCTGGTCCTTCGGGTTTATTGGATCTAGCACTTTTAAGTACCGCTCAAGGGAGATATGTTGCACTTTTTCATTATCCCTCATGTACAGGCTAAATCAAACCGAGTATGCAATTTTCATTCATTTTTTCTGATTTTAATGCTTCAAAGGAATAACTTTTTACACCGATTTTAAAGATGTTTGTAACATCTCAGCGATCGGTCAATTTAACCTTAAGTGTCCGAAAACTTGTCAAGTTAGATGAATTAACTGTGGATCGTGAGACAAATAACCAGTTGCATAGTTTGAGATTTATTTTCATCTCTCCTGAGAATCTAAACATCGACCCTTGGATTACGAATACTAAGATATTATAAGAGAAAGATATGTTATATTCGCATATTTAATTTGGCACGTGCTGTAAAGGGCTAATTGGAAAACAAATGCCAAAATTCCACCTATTTGTCTCACGTGTTATAACTTTTAAAAACACGATAATTCGGTTTTAAATATAACAATAATGGTACAAAGAAACTTTATAATTATAATACAGTTTTATGCTCCTCACTTACCTTGAACAAATCGAATGCATTGCACCACATTATCACTTTTATTTAATAGTAATTCTGCAATCCCTAACACCCAATCTGGAAGTAAGGCTTAAGAATTAAAAATTTATCATATAATCAATTTGTTTGTAAATAAATAAATCGAAAACATTACAAAGCTACCACATGACGAGATGTTTCATTAGAGAACGGAAAATGAAGGTCAACGTCATTACAAACTATTATTATAGAGAAGGGTCATTTAAAAGTGAATACGTCTAAAATTTTCCATAAGCAACATCGATACAAATGTATCATTTAAATATTCTTTAGAATTAAATTGCTTGGAAAAGTATGTTGATGGACTTTAAAGTGATTTAGAATGAATATAGGATGATAAATTATATTTTCTTTCAGAACTTTTGATTATCCGTTTTATAAGTATTTGTATTTTCCTCTACAAGCCCTAACCAGTTGTTGAACTTGGCACAGCAAGGACTTGCACAACAATTAATGTATGGTTCACCGACTGCTACACAACCCCCGGCATGGGCCATCGATCTGATAGAAGAGGTCAAAGCGTTAAAAATATCTTCGCAAAAAGTTGAATCTACTCTCAATCAGCTTACAATCAAAGTGTCAGATGTAGAAATCAAACTCTCTGGACTCAACTAAACAAGTAAATGATATTGGAAAACATGCGTGCAAATTTTTGCATCAGGATGTCGAAACAACACATGCGCGACATAATCTTTTTAAAAAGATGAACAGACCAAAATTAAGAAATGGAATGCTGATATTGAAAAACAGAATTTCGAACTTGAAAATTTGCAGTTAGTCTTCAAACACGGTCAATGAATGACAATCTTATATTCTATGGAATCGCGGAAAACGCCATCTCCACTTGTAAACAACGGTGCTCCAGTAGAGGATTGCCGCGCTCTTGTCAAGGAACTGATCTCCGACAAAACTTAGTATTGACAGTACATCCATTAATTTACAAAGGTACCACCGCCTGGGCGGCGATCGAGCCAAGAAACCGCGACCCATCGTTGCCAATTCGGAAATCCCGACGAAACGTGAAACAATTCCGCAAAAATCGTTCGACAAGGACGTCAAGGAGAAACTTAAGACTGCCCGACAAGGAGTGGGGGTACAGCGCCCCCAAGTTACTCGTGATGCCAGAAAGATGTTTGGTGACCTTATCGAAATGGATACGAACAGGCCGGCAAATCGGTACGTCAAAACAGGGACGAAAGCTTTACAGTAAACGGAAAACTGACCAAAGTCTACATGAACAACAAGGTTATCGACCCGC